GAAGTTCTTGTCTTCATACTTACATAACTATATTCAACCTATCTCTACAGACGCACATCAAAAGTACGCAAAATTAATTTAAAAAACAAAAATTTACAATTAGCAGCTACCTGGGAAAAAATGTCTTAGACGGGCACTAGTATAAAATATATATACCGACTTTCAAAATTCAGGGTTTTGTTCTAAATTTTTTCGAAGTCTCAATTTTATGTCCTTAGGGTTCATAAGTTTTAATTCATGAAAAATTTTACCACAATTTAAATTATTTTATATACCACCCCTCAAATGGTTAAACAATGCATAAAGATGTAAAACATCTATGCAGTTATAATTAATGCAGTATGTAAGCATGAACTACTTGTACTTGAGAATGAAAAGAATCTTGGATCAGCATAAATTTCTCGACATTATCTCCCGCAAAGTATTTTGTGAACCAGTCAGTGAGCTTTGAGAGATGTTCCATGAAAAACGATAGCGATTCCTGTAGAATAATGATTTTATTAGTAGTTTTGTATTTATTACAATGTAGAAAACAATCCTGAGCACCACCGTCACTCAGTTTTCTTATCAACAACTGCAGCTTTTTCCTACATGCTGAAACCTTTTCTACAAGTTTCAAGATATGCATACATTGCCCTGTAGAATTCAAGACATTTAGTTTCTCAAATATGTCACACTAATATGCTAGTTTCAGCGAAATACTTAGCAATCGCATGACCTTCCTCTTGCAGAAAAGTGTGAATTTCTTGATGCAGCTCAAATGCACAATGCAGGGTAATCAACACAACTTGTAGTGTTTTGCTACAAGTAAGCATCTGCAGTCTTTCATAGCAAGCGGACATTGATTGATCGCCATCAGTACATACACTGATGCACTATTTCCAAACTAAATCATTTTCCACTATAAACTTGTCGAGCCTTTTAAACAAGTCAAGTCTTTGCACTTCTGATCATGCTGTTACAGAACAGAAGATCTTCAACAATAAATAGTATTACCATCCAGGAAACAAACATAGCATAAAAGATTTGCATCTTTGTTATTATAAGTAGCCTCATCTAATTGCAGACTAAATTAATTTCATTTCATTTTCTCTATCAACTGAACATTGAGATCCTGAGATATTCATTGACTTCTTCAACTAATAGTGTTGTTGGATAGAAAAACCTTTCGAAATGAGTTTTCTGCAACATTTCCTACATAATATTCATGTCGCAAGAAGCTGGTAGAATAAGCTCTGCTGCGATATTGTGCGGTTTTTTGCACTTCTTTTCGCAGACTTTAGCTGGGCAATATTCATAACTAACACTTGTTTAGTTACTGCTTTGCTTTTGTAAATTTTTCAATTTCTTACTAAAAAAACTGCAAGATTCTTCAACTAAGTTAAGATGAAAAGTCTCAAGGTGACACTTTAGCTTATTTGGAAGCTTAGTTTTGAGTTTACAGGATATTTAAGCAAAGAAAGATTTTTTAAGCAGACAACACATGTATTATTGTTTATCCTACTGAAGTAAAACCAAAATCAAAGTAACTCTTCTTGTAGTTGCAGTATTTTTGCTTCTTTTCCCCTCTCCCAGTTATCAGTGCTTTATCACTCGGAACTGTCGTTACTATTGGTTTCCTCGCTTAATAAAACTCTGTTCATTTTGCAAAATATCAGTAAGGATTTATTGAAATATTTTGTCGTAATCACGACTTTTTCTATCAATGTATAAGATTGTGTGACTTTCCTGCACTTACACGATTTTGATAATGACAGTCGCGAGCAAAAAAAAAAAAAAAAAAAAAAAAAAAAAAAATTTCAACAAATGCTGAGATGACAAATATAGCCATCTTGTAACATGAAGTAATGGGCAAAAAATGTATGAGAATAATTGAATGCAATAACATAGAATTATGTGCAAATTAAAAAAACTAAGTGATAGAATAAAATAGTGCTTTAAGAAATGAGATTGAGAACAAGAAGTACTTTACATTAAAAGGAGAAATAGAAATGTTAAAAATATAATGTAAATGGAATTAGATTAACAAATGAAAGCATAAGTATTAAGAAAAATTTAAGGAACTATTATTTCAAGAAATAGAATAAAAATTAGTGCAACATATTAATGAACATGTAATTAATGAAAAATATATCAGTGCATTCACTGCAAGTCTTGTCTCTCCATGATGCTTACTTCCAGCACCCGAGGCTGCCAGGGAGCGCACTTTGGGATTGGTTGGTTTTGTTTGATAGATTAATGCAAAGCACACTAGGGCTATCTCCCTACATGTGCCCGTTTTGGGAACCCTTGGCTTAGATTAATGCCTTTGGGTTTGTGTAAATCAGGAAATTACATCCTTACATCCTTCATCTGATGAAATCTTTTCATTGCTATATAAATGGTGAAAAGCTCACTATCATAGGTGCTCAGCTTGGTTTAACAGAGAAAAATGCAGTTGGTTCCTGCACATTTTAGTTTAGCTTCATGAGTGAACCATTGACAGCACCATCACTGGCATCAATAAATGCAAATAAATTATGCTTTGATTTTTTTTTAAACATTTTATTTAAGGTGTTAGAATATGTGCAAAATATGCTCATTTGCGTATTTTGATGCTACTGAGATACCATCTACAATGGCATAAACAAAAGAAATTTTTCAAGTTGTAGGGATCGCTTTTTGTAGAAGCGTAAACTAAGACTGAAAACCAACTTATTGCTGCAATCTGAAATAATCCCCTGAGTGGAATGATCATCTTTATCCAGTCATGAGATTTTTCGTATCTTGGTACATATTAGCTTATAATTTAAAGTATTTTACTTCTTACTTTCCTTAATGATCTAAATAAATATCATCTAATGGAATTTGAATGGAAGTTTCTACAAACAGACTAAAATAAGTAATTATGCAAGGTTAAGTAATAAATCCTGTTTAAATATTGATAATAGTAAGCATATCCAAAAAGCCATGCCATTTGGGTTAAGATAATAAAGTCCTGTGGAGATTAAAATAACCTTTTAATTAACTCTTTGAATTTAACAGAAAACACTGCTTGCGTTTACAAAACATTACTCCACAACTTGCAGGTATTTAAAATAACATAAGTTGTATTATAAATTCAAGTATTATAGTTGGAGGTTATACAAAATGATCTGCTTTTCTGGCTCAAATATTTAACAACATGCTTTTAACATAGGTTAGTGAAATGGTTAATGCAGGGAATAAACTCCTACAGAGCTGGAGATGAAACATACCTGCAAGCACGGCGGCCAAAAGCTCTAATTCTTAAAACATTCAAACTCTTGGCTTAACCTTTTGATGATTATGAACAAGCTTAGTTCACATTTCAATTACATTCCACAGTGGGTGCAAACGAAACAGCTCACATTAATATCTGACGGATATTGCATGTATTTTAGAAGAAAGAATAGCTTAAACTCGCATCTGTTGAACAGAAATACTCACACAGCTAATTTGCATTCTGGTGATTACTATGGAAAGTTAAATTCCAAATCATAATAATTGGTTAATTAACATAAAGCTTAAATATTGTCTCACCAGAATTTAAACTAATTAAAAATAAAGGTCTTAATAATCTTTGATAAGATTTTAAAATTCTAACCTAAAAGAGCCAACTCTTACAAAATTTCATTTAAGTTAAAATTAATTCTTAAACCTAGGTTTACACTGTGCATGTACAAGGTTAACCTTTTACAATTTACTTTTACTCTTAACCTCTTTTTTCACCCCACTCTTCAGCTTTGTGTTGGGTAAAACAGTGTGCAAAATTGAAATATTTCAACAACTACCTGCTATTTGAGCTCGTACATCATTAGAATCATTAGATACACCATTCCTCAATGACAAGCTTTTTCAAAATTGATATCTAATGTTCTAGACTTAAATTTCAACTAACTAAAAAAAATAGAGAGAACTTTTAAATAAGTAAGTTTACACTATGCTAATTTTAAATTTTCATTTACAATGCACACTATCAACAACATATTTTGCTTTTGCAATACATTAGATCTTAGCATATATTATTCATGCATTCAAATACACTTCAAAGGACTACCTTTACTTAGTTTTAACTTTACATAGAAAATGCATAAATGTATATACTAGTTCCTATTATTTTGACGTGAATCCGTGCTAAACTTTTCTACTATCTACAGTCTTTTTGATTAAAGTAATACGATCATGTTTAACACACAAACATGAAATTGTTAAAAGGAAGTAAATGCATCTGTAGAAAATGTGGTACTCTTCCGTTATCGGGATCAGATTCAGAAAGGTATGTAAATATGCATGCATACATACACACATACATGTATACATGCATACTTGAACACATACATGCATATCTGAATCTGGTCCCGATGACAGAACAGTACCGAAAATGCTTGTTAGCTGTACTTAATTTAAAGATCCACTTGAGGTAAAATAAAAGTATGCTAACAACTTCGTATATATGTTTAATCATACATAAAGTACACATGTGTTTAAAGAAATAAAGTAAATTTTCACTTCTGTTTTGTTTTTGTGAAAATTGGCCATTATTTTTTCAACAAATTCATTTCATGTGGGATAAATCACAGTTCTATTCACTCGAATGGGGCTGTTAGTTATTTTGATCATCTCCAGTTTGGTCCTCGATTCTTATCAACTTCCTTTGACCTTCGGCATATTCTGGTTTTGTGAAGAATTATGTTAATAACTTTTAGCAGCATTTTTGTCTTTCAGTTTTGAGGATTTAATTTTTTATTTTTATGTTGGATTGTACCTGTCAATTTTTTATAACAAATATTAATTCTTTTTTCAATTGAGGACCCCCCCAGTCTGTAATTTTTATGTGTTTTTTTCATACTTTGCTCCCACATTTCATTTCAAAGTTTAAACTTCTGTTGTTCTACTTGATCCAATAACATCCAATTTTTTATACTATTAGTAAGTTTGTTAATTTTATTTTCTGTTTTACTTATTCATTTGATAATTAATATTTTTTTTCCCACTTACAGGCTCCTGTATCATTGCATCAGATATTTCAAGAACTGAGCAGAGATTCAGATACTTTTGATGCAGAAGCAGCTGATGTAAGAAAATTTGTATGTACAGTAGAAGTCCAGAAATCCGCAAAGCTTGGGACCAGAGGTTGTGCGGATTTTAGGATTTTGCGGATTTCAGGACAGAAAAGATAAATCATAATATTCAGACTAAAAGTGCAAAATAATAAGGCGTATTAGATACATTTAATTAAATTATTATACACATTTTTGAAATATCTTATTATATGCATTAAATTATTATTACATATATAAATTGATTATATTATTCATTGTATTATATCAGGGTTGCCGCACTACCTGGAAAACTGGGAGAACCAGAAAAAGTCAGGGAATTCGAAAATTGACCAAAAAATTGAGGGAAAAGTCAGGGAATTTAAGTATTTTTGTCAAAATCTGTAAAAGTCAGGGAAGTTCATACAACGATCCCGCCAAAAAAAGAGACTTTTGCGCCAACGTCGGAAGAGATAACTTTTTTGGCGAATTGTGTATCATGTGAGTGTCATTCGGGCAGCTGTCATAGAGCCAATTTTCGCAGCTCCAATTTGATTGTCTTTTAGAAAGGCAAAGCAAGTTTCCCGCACCTTTTGGTTTCCAGTATTCTCGAGAATCGTATGTGCAGTGCATGAATTAAAGAAAGTACCTGTTCTCGTATAAAACAAAATGGGTTTAATCCTAGTATATGGTACCATGGAGGTTAGAAACAAACAATATGTATTGTAAAGAAGGAAAACCTCTCTGCAACAGACGTGGCTCCGTTCCATCATAGAGGGAAACAGCTGTGCATGCGTGATATATCTGTCGCCAAAGCTCGAAACCGGTGTCGAAGTTCGAAGGTCACGTTATCAAGAGTTCATAAACTGAATATCGTTTAAAATTTCTTTAACCACTTGCGAAAAAAAGACATGCCGCACACATCGAGATGCTTTTGTCTCAAACCGCGAGTGATGTGAACACCACGTCGATAAGCATTTATCGCAAAAATGAAAATAACGTGCACACGTCGCCTAACAACGAGATTGTTTATTTCTCGAGTTACAGCTCTGGATTGCACTCGCAGATGCGGAGTGGCGTAAATGAGACACTTTTACCGCTTGTTATATTGTAGCGCACGGCACCGCAACCGTGAAGTTTAGTCTTAGCGCAAGTGGTTAAACTCAAAAGGAAAAGAAAATATTTTTTGGCACAAGTAAATTAATTCATGGATTAGTTATTTTCAGGGGAAAAAAAAAACTACGAAAATCCGTTTTTAAAATTATTGCGAAAAATCCAAAAAGAAACGTCCTTTGATAAAACGTTTCTTCTTGTATTTTTCGCAATAATTTAAAAACGGATTTTAGTAGCTTTCTTTTTGTCAAAGAACGTTTCTTCTTAACACGTGTTTCTCAATTTCCTGTACACATCGCGGAGACGGAAATTCTGGCCACCAGGTTCCGTCGTCGTTTACTTGTATGGAACCTTTTCTTTTCTACATAGATATTCTTTGGTTAGAATAATCTCCGTGCATGGTACAATGGGATTTGGCGACATGATGATGCGCAGTAAACGGGTCATTTTGGTCTTGGCGACAATTTTCAAAATTGTGCCAAAGCCTTACCGTATAGAGTCAAAAGTCTTTAATCCGGACTCGTCAGGACTTAAGCGATTCCGGATTATAGATAATCAGTTTAAATCTGGTAAGATGGCATGCAGAAATTCTAAAATTAAAAATATGAAACTGTAATTTATGAAATAAAGAGCAATTATGATCTAAAGGGTATCAAAATTTACAAAAAACAAAAACACAAAAAAAAAAAAAAAAAAAAAAGAGCTTAATATTTATTTGTTTACTTTCTTAAACATTTCTTTCAACGCGCGCATGCGTAAAGCATACATTACACATAGTCGAAATTAGAAAATTGCAACCAGAAAACTATTTGATTTATATTCGTGATATTTATAATGACGAGGAATTTGATTTTAAATCATATCAAAGACGGAGTACATCGAGATGAAATACTACACTATAAGCCAAATAAAATAAAAACATCTGCCCCTGAAGATAAGGATAGTGCTGACAGATCAACTTCGAGTTCACTGCACGGCGCGACGTCCCGCGTGAAATTGATAAACAAATTTCGGAATGGTTTGAGAAACAAAGGAGTTTTTATCCATTTTTTGCAGCAATTCCACTTTTTGTTTGATGGACATCGAAACATGCTTTCCCTTTGTAGATCCAGAATCGGAAATTCTATTTGACATAATCGAAAGTTCCAACTTAAGGCCCGTTTCCACTGCTGCGTATGCGTTGCGGTGTCTATGCGTTTCTCCAATCAGCGGGCGAATTCACTTAGATTTACATCTGCAATCCGGTCGATGTGCAGTGACGGATGACATACGGATGGAGTTCAACAATGTTCAACTTCTATCCGTATGTCTGCGGATGCATTGTGGTCACATGGTAAAAAAGGAGCAATCAGGTGTTGTCACCAACAATTAATGGCAGCAGAAGTAGCGATGAACGCTGGCTTAGGGAAAGAATGTTTTGCTAAAAAATACATTATAGCTGAATTAACATTATAAGGAGAAATTTGCATACTGAAAAAGTCAGCAATCAGCTGAATTCAGTTAAAAAAAGATAAGAAAAATAAGATAACTGCAACTACAGTCAGAGTCGTAGCTAGGGTTTTCAGCGCCCAGGGACAACTGAAGATTTCGCGCCCCCTACTACTTGCCAAGGATGGAAAACATTTAATTCTAAAATGTCATAACATCAGTTTGGCGCCCCTTGGGTTCTGCGCCTGGGGACAAATAAATTTTTGGAATTATATATTTATTCATGGATTTTGATACTTGCACTTGATTTACATATGCTCTCAGAATTTAAATGATATTGTGTATTAGTTCGCAGCAATAATTAATCATTTATTTGTTTCCATTAAATTTCATTTAAATTTAATTAACTTTAAATTTGCTTTTTACAAATAGAAAATGTTTGTTAAATTCAAATTTCATTCCTTGCAGCAATGGCACAAAAGAATTGTTTAAATTTATTTTGAAACCCTGTAGATATATATATATATCTTCATTTCACTTTTATGTGAATGTATATACATGTGCTCAGACTTTGAGATGTTTATGTCTCTAAATTATCCAATTAACATGCGACAGTGTTAATGCCCTAAACATTTTTTAACAAAAAATTACTATAATAATTGCTTTTAAATTCAGTCCTCTCCAGCAGAAGTGCAGGAATTAATTAATTAAATATTTCCATTTTCTTTACCTAATGTGTGTATTATATAAAGAGAAAAATCTTATTTTTATAACTTCTTCTATAAAAAGAGATATGAATTAAAAATGTTTAAATTAAAAATAATATTTTATGGATTATGCATAAAATATAACTGCTCATAGTGCATTTTAAAACAAACGAGATTTCTAACAAATTGTCCAGCTATGACCCTGAAGTCAGCGGTTTACAAGCGTAGCAAATTTTGTGTAAATATTGTGAGCCTTTCTTTACAGTTGCTCTGTATTTTTAAAGTACCAATTATTTTGTAATTCCTTTAACTTTTTTATTTTATTTATTTATTTGTTTATTTTTTTCACTAACAGTACATTTTTAGTTTTAATAATATATATATTATTTCATTAATATTTAAGGCTTCTAAAAACACAAATTTTTTTTAAAATTTTACTTCAGTTTCTATGGAATTAGTGATGTTCATAATATGCATTATAACCTTACTTATCTAAAAATTGCTGTACTTTACTTTTGCAGTTCATAAGCAGAAATAAAAATTTCCAATAACATGGAATTTAGTAAACAAAACTTTTCTACGTTTACGTCAGGATCCATATCAAATCCAAAAACAAACAATACTCGCTTAAGCGGGAAAAATGCAGATGTTCAGCATCGTAACTCGTGAACTGCTTGTTTGGCGCCAAAATATTACAGTGACACCTAGCGGCGGAAAATGAAGATATTTAACGGATACGCAGCAGTGGTAACGCTTGTACGGATGCCGAAGGTGTGTCTTCAATTGACGCAACGCATTCGTACACAGTGGCGGAAACGAGGCTTTACTTTTATAAAATTGCTCTAACAGTCTGCAAAAAATAATAAGCCGGTTCCAATTCGAAGATTAAGGAACAACGCAATCTGCAACATTAACTGAAATAGATAATTAGATAATTTTAGCTGAGCTCATACCGTCCGTTATACATTAAACGTGCATGCGTAAACGTATAATGCGCATGCGTAAAGGTATTACGCACATGCGTCAACGAAAATTTGCGTTGACGCATGCGCAGAAAGTTTGCAGCTCTGAGGTCCGTCTGGATTAACGACTTTTGTACTAGAATTTTACTGCAAAATCTTTTTAAACTTTTTTTTTTTTTCTTCTTTTTAATAAATACCTTGCCATTTTGCAGTAAAATAAAAAAATAGTAATCAGTCATCAAGCTGACCATGTAATATAACTATATTCGCTAAAATATCATTGAGTATTCTAATTCAATTTTTAAGTAATTATCTTTATTTTTATGTTATTCGTATAATTTAATGTTGCTTCTTCCCTCTAAATTTAGTTATTATTAGTAAATAATATTTCCAAATTTCAGGAAATTTTCTCTGGTATAATCCTGAAGTTAATTCTAGCAGTATGATGACATACCATGACGAAATTTAATGCACATATTTTTTCCTTTATGTATGCTGCGAAATAAATATAAAATACCTCAATTTATTAAAATAGATTTCTTTCTTTCGTTTAGCTGCAGAATGTCTGCAAAAAAGCCTTATTTTATTCCAGATTGGGAAGATTCTAATCTCAATCTTCAGTGAAGAAAACAACAACTATTTTAATTATATTTGTGTTTTCAAGTGTTAAGGTGCCTTTTAAGAACATACCTCACACAAATTAAATTTACCTAAAATCTAACCTAACTATTTAGCATTGCGTTGTGATTTATAAAGACAGGATTAGCCTCGTGTTGAACTGGTGATGATCATGAGTAATTAAATAAAACATACATTTGTTATCCAATGTATATATCTTAAATTTTATTAAGTTTCTTAAGTGGAAAAGTAAACAAAATTATCAAACAAAGTATACCAAGAATAATTAAGAATAAATGTCCTCTGGGATTTATTGAATAATTAAGTGAATTTGCTACACAATACAAGTAATACCATAATTAATTTATCTCCTAGCGCAGCCAACGTATATTACGCAGATAGACTGGAATTTTCTTGAAACACACATGGAAAACCTGGAAAAGTCAGGGAATTTCATTCTCTTGTTTGAGTGGCAACCCTGTTATATGTACACAGCATCGAGGTTTGCCGATTTCACCTCATGCGAAGATTTCCGGTTTCGGATTCCGGTGTTAGAATCACTGTTGCTGTAAAATTTCAACAGCTTTTCTTTATTTTTTCTTTATATCATACACAATTGTGTCGCAATTCCATACGAATCATTCTCCATCTTTTGCAGAATTTGCACTTTTTGCATTACCACCAATGCAACATGTTTACGTTTTTCTGCGTTGCAAGCAGTAAAATCACAAGTGTGTTTCTTATCTGTAATTGTATTAAAAAGGGCTGAAATTAAAAATATTCTTAATTTATCCACAAAATATCCGGATAAAAAAAAGCAGCACTAAATTATCTCCTGAAATAACAAAGCTCAGAAAATACAACAACGTGAATCGTGAACTCGAAAGAAGAGTTGAGTGAATCGTCTGCTTTTTTACCTAGATTAGAAGAGAAAAAACTTGTATCATGATGTCAATAATTTGGTATTTCCGTTATGACTCATTATTATTCGGTAATTATGACGTCATTATTTGGTAGGTATTTTTTCTTCGATATTTCCTACTCAATGTTGCGGTTTCCGGAACCTATAATTTTAATGTTTATATTTTTGAGAGGCAACGCGGATTTCAGGTCGGTGGATTTTCGGTATTTGACTGTATTATATTGTTGTAATAGATTACATTATTAGCCTGAATCCTAAATATCATTGATTTTCAAAATATATTTAGTACTATTGCTTTTTTAAAATTTCATCAATTTTCTTAGTGTTTTCATTTTAAGGGTGCTAACAGTTAGATTTTGTAAGTGATTTTTTATACAGAAACTCTTTCATAGTTGCAATGAAAGATTTGCCAGATTAGCAATTTTACAAACTATTATTATTTAGCAGTATTTTACAAACTAGACATAGATCAGTTTGCAGACATAGGAATGTGTTACTGTTATTTTGTTCTTTAATTTATTTTTTTTTATGTGAAATCATTATCTTTTAACTATCCAATGGAGGTTATTGATTCTTTACTGTTTATACTAATGGTACTTTGTCTAGTGAATGCAAGCAACAGCATTTGCTATTATAGATCAAATTTTCAATAATTTTTAAGCAGAAGCTTTCGATTTAAGGCATTCACTCTGGCGTGTACCATTGGTGGCTCACACTTGAGCTCTCATTGGGTGGTGTGTACCACCAGTGCCACACACTTGAATGTTCCATCTTGCGACTGTAACACCAGTGGTTCACACTTGACTGTTCCATCAGATGGCAAAAAAAACCCAACTGGAAAAAATTGTTATATAGTTGAAAATTTAAGTAATGGAAATTTAATGTATATTAATTGATTAATACCCTTCAAGGAAGAACATATCTTGCAAGACAAGGGATCACAACTTTTGTGAAGGAAAAGGGACAACACAGATGGAATGCAAACAGAAACTGTCTGAAATAAAATTAACCTGAGAGAAATAACCATTATCTCCTCTAAAAGTAGCATGGCCATGGTAATAATTGGCAGAAATGAAATTATTTGCAATTTTGTTTGTTATTGTGGCAGTGAGCGGATAGTGTGAAATCAATAAAATGATTACATACATAGCATAATTTAAAAAGTTAAATTTGTGATTAATGAAGAAATGTGTCATTGTATGATTTAAATTTTATAATCCAATTATATTTTGAAAAAGACACCATTGTTTGTTGCAAGCAAAGTGTATTTAAGATACCAGAGGGCCATAAGTAGCTCGTGAGCCGCAGGCGTTAGGAAGCCGCAATTTGGCCATGCCTAACATATATTATTGCTGTATGCAATATATGTAATATATGCATCAAAGAAAATTTTTAATAAATGAAAGAGAATAGGTTTTCATTTATTTTCAAGTTTTGTCCCACCAGGAAAATTTTGTAATATGTTTTAACCCTTTGGCGCACGGTGGTCACGCCCTGAAACCACCAATTTCAAAATTTTTTCTCCTCTTCTTTCCAAAATTTTTGAGTGAAAATCAATTGATTACTGATCTTTTACCTCTAAATAACACAAAATGACTGCAGAATCGTACATGTTTTAGGTCTTAGTACTTCAAATCGGATGCCTTTTAAAATTCGTTTACAGTGAGAAAAAATAACTTCCTTTTATTAATATAAGCAACTTTAAATTTCAAAAGTTATTAATCACGCATCATGATTTCTATCATAAACAATAAAAAATAGCAATAATTAAACTGCATATATAAAAAAAAACCCTGTATATATATGGCATTTGCTTTGTGCTTTCAGGGCACGACCACTGCGCCACTAGAGCATTGTGAGCACTGTGTCATTGTGCATTGTGACACAGTGCTCACAATGCTCTAGAGGCTCACTGGTTGCACCTTGAAACCACTGCTCTTCACAATGGCATTTGCTTGCTTTTCAAATAGGAATGTTTATTTTTACCGGGATATAGATAAGGGGTTTTGAAACCACAGAGTTATTTTATTACTAAATACGTGCACCTGCCCAGTAAAAATGTCTTTCTTTTCCAGAGACTTTTCTCTGACCTCAACACACTTGCTCCCCAAGCTAGTATTGTGATTTTATAAATTATTTCATGTGGTTTAAATTTAACGTAAATATACTTTGCTATAATTAAAAATAGAAATCGCATAAAGTTTTATTTGGATTAAAAATATTTTCTGAATATTTTGGGATGAAATACAAATAAAATAAGTATGAATGGGAAACGAGTGATCCGTACCAAAGCCAAAAAGACCAAGCCCCCCCCCCATTAACATAAACCACAAATTTATGTGCCAGATGAAAAGAAACTAAATAACGCTAACATATACCAGTGAAATTTAGAACCAGGCAGTGTACATTTTGTAGCACAAGGAAAAAACCTCATAGAAGATACATGTGCGAAACGTGCAGTGTGGGTGTACCAAAACATGCTTTGAACAGTGTCACAAAAAAAATTTGCTCTTTGAAGTTAAAAAAAAAAAAAAAAAAAAAAAAAAAAAAAACACTGAGTCTTTTTTTGTATCCATTTAGCCAAACGTCCTTATTATGTAGGTACTTATATTTTCACTGCTGTAGAAAAATTACATAAATGTTTATAATTTAATTTTTTCTGACGATTTACTTTGTAAAATAATGTAAAAAAAAATATATATAATGCAATTCATACATACATGTTTTTAAAATTCGTAAATTTCGTCATTTATTGGAGAAAGGTAAGGTTTTTTTTTCATACTACCTCAGTAAGTTTCAAAGTCCTAGGCACGTTTCACAGTGCAACCACCACCCACAGAACAATGGGCAAGAGTAGATTTTTTTTAATTCATATATTATTTGTCTCTAGGCTCATAATATTCAATTTTGAGAGTTTTTAGTTAAAAAAATTATAAAAATAATATTGCATGCATCAAAGGGTTAAGTAATAACATATTAGAATTATTCAAATATAAATTTAATATTTATCTGTCACTGCATTTGAATTACAAAGTGTAACCATCAGAAATTTATTCCAGATACCAGCCTATAGAGTTCAGAAAATAAATGTGAATTGAAATTTTTTGCTTTGTGTGGTTATTATCGTTGTTTATTTGTGTTTTGATAATATTTAATAAATAAAATTTTAAATTTTGCTAATTTTTTAATTTAAAAAAATGTAATTTTGGTTCCAAAAAAATTCTGACCCCCATCTGCTTTTATAATGTGCATTTGACTCACATGCATTTTGAATGAGAATATTCTTAAATGGTGATAAGAAACAAAATTAAAAAGAATTTACAAAGTTCCTTTTGGAAACAGTTGAATTCATTCTCATAAGTCCATCTTGGATGGATGTACCATTAACTAGATTTAAATTAGTATAAATTATATATTAACTTTTTGAAATTTATTTAAACTAATTTTTAATAAATAATTCATATGAGAACCTTTTTTTCATTAACAGTTTCATAATATTTTGGAATTATTATTTTTAGGTACTTATGGAAATGGCAGATGATTTCGTTCAAGCCGTTCTTGAGAAAACTTTCAGGTTGGTTGACAATAAGTCAACAAAAGTTTTACGATGCTCAGATTTAATGATGATCTTAAGTAAGTTTTGTTACTTGATTTCTTCTAAATGCTTAGAAAAAGTGAGAAAGATTATTATTTTCATGCTAATTTTGTCACTGTTGTGTAGTTATATACTGAAAATATGTCTAAGTATAGAACTGATCTTCAGAGAGAAAAGTAAATCATTTTGGGTATTTAAATGTTAATAATTAAATTCAATAATTGCTTGTATTTAAGAAAGTTCAAAAAGTCAATTTTGTTAAATTTTTTGGAAAATATGTATTGCAATATTTTTAGAATTGTTTTAAATGTTAAATAATGAATAATTTTAAATGAATTAAATTATTGTTATGTTTTGTTACAGCTTTACCAATACTGCTGAATATAAAATAATGAAGTTGTCATTAAAATATGCTATTTAAATAATTTTACATCATTTAATAAATAATAAATAATAAAAATCCTTAAACTTATTGATATCAGTATCACTTATAAAGTGTAGATTGTTTTTATGCTTTTATTTTAACATTATTAGAATTGCAGTTACAGAGTCATCAATTTACATTATAAATATTTTTCTTTAAAATTATTTAGTCTGTTAAATATCTCAATAATCAACACCAGTGTAATGAAATTTTCAGAATTGTGAAATCATTTTTAGGCCTCTTCCCCATTTGATAGCCGTTAAAATATTTCATTTTAAGGAACTTCAAACTTATAATACAGCAAATGAAAATTGCATCTTATTGCCTATATTTAACTTTATATATATATTTTTTCAAAATGTAGTTGTAATTCACCTTTGTAAATATAGGGAGTCCCGTAAATGTTGCAACAAACTTCTGGGAGAGGTAATCCACATCATAAGGATTAAGAATTGCATAGGAACCCATGCCCAGAACTGTCAGGGGTAAGTGATAGCAGAGGTAGAAGATGGGAAAAGAAACAAGAGAGTGATTAATTTGAAACACTTATTGGACATGAATACAAATGGTGTACAACAGCCTGAATGTTACAATAGATGCTCGAAGTTTGCACCATCAGATGCCAAACATGCCTGACACTGATGAACCATTGATTGATGGATACATTCAAGCACAGGAAGAATTTCTTTGATTGTAGCAGCTGTGCAGGTGAGTCTTCCCCCGAGATCCATTTAAGACACAACAGGATCGTTATAAATGACACTTTGGTTCCCCACAAAAAGAAATCAAGGCTTGATAAATCTAGTGATCGTGGGGGGTGCCAAGGAACCAGTCCACCACACCCAATCCATCAATGCGGGAATGATCTGTTCAAATGACTACAAACATCCAGTCGAAAATGAGCAAGCACCCAATCATGTTGGAACCACATATTGCATTTGGTGGAACATCATCGAGCAAGCCAGGAAGAACCTGCTCCAGAAAGATCAAATAATTCGTAGCATTGAACCTGGATGGTATAAGGTACGGCCCGACTGAGCAGTCGCCAAAGAAACCTGCCCACACATTAACTTTGAAGTGTTGTTTTGCCATGTTCTGTGAGAGTTTTCTTGACCCCACAAATGCTGATAGTGGTGATTGAATACGCCATCCCTATTGAATGTGGCTTCATCCGTGAACAACACATAAGCTGGGAAATTAACATCACAGGCACTTTCTTGCAAAAACCACTGTGCAAAACACACACTTTCAGGATGTTCATCGGGAGCAGTAACTGAACTCTTTGGAGACAAAAGGCATGGAAGAACTTCGTGTTCAAGACACACTGGACACTGGTACGTGACATTCTTAATTCAGAGGCAATGGCACGAATGCTTGTCCTTGGATTACTCTCCACCGTATCCAACACTCTTTCCTAATGACCGATTGTGCCCTGCTACTTCTTAATGACCCGTAGTCACATAAGTTTTGATGCAGACATGCAAACAAACTGTGATATGGTTGATGTCTGTCAGGGAAGCATTCTCAATAAATGCAAGCAGTGGCTCGTCCATTACCCTCAGCTATTCCATACACTAAGTGCATGTCTGCAAGCTCTCTGTTCGAATAGCATTTCATGCTCTTCATATGGTGCCTATCGCTTAGATGAGACGACCCTCACTTTCCACTAGCACTCTTCTGTACAGCATCCCCCTGGTGATGTTTTTGGGCATGGATTCCTATGCAATTCTTAATCCTTATGATGTGCCCTACCTGCCCCAAAAGTTTGTTCCAACATTTATGGAACACCCTATATATATTATACACACATATATTATATACATGTATATATATGTAATGTTTTAATGCGTATAAAGAATTCTGATACTGTAACAGGTGGCAGTCTTCATGGACGGGGATGGATATTTTGAAGCGCTGCAACTTGAAGTCTGCGTAGTTAGATAGATGGATGCATCAACCACAAACTCCTAGATGTAGCCATTTCAGAACATAATTTTATTCAATTACAATTCACATCAGATCATTTTTATATACAAGGGATTTATCCAATCATATTTCAATACGATAATTTTCATGTACTTTTAAAGGTAAGACTTAGGCGTCTTAGACTGAGAAACGAAGCAGCGTGAAGATATTAGCATGGTATAAGCTAGGGAGAGGAATGGCATAATTAACTAGCAAGCGGTATTCATACCAAAGTAGATGCAATTGTAGAGACAACATGAAAAGATCTCGAATTTGGCAGAACAGATGAATTTATGGGGGAGATCGCCTTAATTTTGAGGTCACCAATTATTTTCTAAAAGCAGCTATCATATTTTGTTATATCTTATATAAGTAGCTTCTAATTGCATATTCTCTTTCTGTTTCACTTCTTCGCCTGCCTGCTGACAGCATGCCACTCAGCCTCTGATTGCTATTCACTAATTATTTTCTTAAAGCAGCTATCATAATGCCAATAAGGATTATACCATTAAACAAGTTTTGGTGGATAGTAGCTATGTTAGCCATTTTTTATTCATGTATATTAGTTTGAAAGTAATCAATGAACATTATTCCATTAAATAAGTTTAGCACATCTTCCAGTACAAGAAGTGACATTATTGGCTAGTAAAACTGTTGGTTAAGTTGTACAAAAGTCAGTATCAGTTGATACATGTTATGCTGCCTTACATTTTCCTGTATTCACATTACATTCTTGCATCATGCATTCATTTTTTGCCCTTGTTTATAAAGCAACAAGTATGTTCATGTGCCTGCCACCGAGCCAGTATAGTCATTAGTGACCGAAATGCAGTCACATGGACCTCACTCTACACCAGAGTTATGTCCATGCGATGGAAAAAGAATCTACTATCCAAATTGAATCAGTGATAGTAATATTACAATGCTAAATTGGCAATGTAATCTTTACAATAATTGTTACATAATAATCCATATGAAAAAAATATACAATCAATTAATCATTGCATTGTCATGGATAGGATCTATGCTGTGGAGAGTGGAACTTATATTATATATTAACCAGTCTGTAAACCTATGTTTAATTCAGTATGTCATAACATCGTGGTGTGTCTGTACTATTGTCGCAGTCAACCACAGAGTAGGCCAATCACATCAGTTCAGGCAGTTGATAGTTTCATAGCCCAAAGTTTATGATGTTGTGTAGACTATTCTATGTTCATATAAATTGGATTCTAAGTTAACTTATGATAAATTCTAAGTGCACTTTTGTTAAGTTCATTGTTCACGTAAGCACTTGTCCACTTTGATACATTATAACTTCACGTCTTTAGCAGTATGCACACCTCATTATGTGTGTCCATAGCAATTTGCACACTGTGTCACAAGAAATCAAGCAATCAATTGCAGTTGGGAAGTTTATAGTAATATGTACACTATTTTACTGTAATTCGCAAAAGCAAATGTTGTGTAAATAATAACTTGGCTTCCAGATTAAAAAAAGAAAAAAGAAAGGAAGAAAACTCATTCTTAAATTTTTTCAATACGATTCTAAATTGTGCAAAATAACAGATTTGGTACACAATTCCAGTCTGTACAGTTTGGCAGGTATTCCAACAATATAAAGCACATATTCCAAAAAAATGCTATAATTTGTTATATTACATGTATCTAATTGTGCTTATAAAATGGCTACAATATTATACACTGACTGCCATAGCAATGAACCCAGGTTCAAATCCCGGAGAAGACATGGTTGTAACTGTCCGTCCCCTTCATAGGAGGCAACGATGGCCACGGTATTAGGTGCTTCCATGATGAAATGGCCACCACTTCTGGCCCTTGTAGTGGCACAAGGCTATTAAATAAAGGTTTGGCATATGCCTTGGAGAGACATGTTTATGTGAACATATTAGAAGCAATGCATGTGTTAAGTGCTGCATAGAGAGCACTTAAAAAAATTTCCTTTTGCTACAAGACAATAAATAAATGGCAAAGAAATTAAGTGGATGACCGGTGAAGAAATGTAATTGTCTTGTGGAATTGAATCCCACAAGACAGTAGATATTATGATACATAGAGAATCTTGCTAGCTGATGTACTATACAATGAGTCTTGCTCAGCGGTGAGAACATTAAATCCAGGCATCTGGATAGTGTAGTGTGTTTATGGTCAAATGAATCCAGCTTCATTCTGTATCATGCTAATAGAGAAACGTGTTTAAGGCTTGACAGATTTGAAAGGCCATTGGTTTGAAGCTATAGAATTACACATCCAAATTATTTTTATGATATCAATCAATCATGAATATTTTTAGTTTGTATCTTTCAGGAGGTCATGAAATTTCATTTGATTTGAGTGGCTTGTTTGAGACCATCTTAACAAACTTTTTAGGCCATCCATTGCCTTATGAAAATTCCATTTTAATTTCTATAAAATCTTTGTGTGTGCCTGTTTATGCAAAACATCCAAATAATGAACATACAAAATTTTATGAAATTGGCATCATGAGCATTATCGCAGGAGGCATATGCAGCTTGTAGTTCCTTTTGTGAATGCTTCAAAGTTTGAAGGCTGTTAGGGCTGTCCTTTACATAAGAAGAGAATTTAGCACACTAATATGAAGGTGCATCTAATGTTTAGATCTTTGAATGTGATTGGAAATGTTGTTTGTGTTGTGTATTTAGTTAAATGTATTGCATATGTTAGTTGTTAAAAACGTTATAATCCAAATAAACGTTACATTATGTTATAAAAATTAATTAATGTAAAAAACATGCAAAACTGATTTTTTTATTGTACTTCAATTATTATTATTATTATTATTATTATTATTTTAAGTTTATAAATATGTTTCCATTTCTTTCAAGACAAAGAAATAGAAAGTTTTTTTCCCCCTTTAGGAAGCTACTGCGACATTGACTTAAACCATTTTGCTGGAACCATTAGTAGCCTAGGTAGATATTCATATGATAAACATGTAAGTTGAACCCCTCCTTTTTTTTTTTACAAATTCTAATTACTGAATATTTTCATGTTTAAAGGAAAAATTTTTAGCAGTTGTTTGCTGAAGTTATGGGGTCAGCTTATATACAAATTCAAAATAATTTACAAAATACCCATTCGCAAAAATAAACAGTTGAAAAATATTAATGACTGAAATAACTGCATTTGGCTGAATAGCATTAGCATCTATTTCACAATGAATATCATCGTCATGGTCTTCATAGATATAGGTGAATGTTTTGACTAGCTAATTCAAACTTAACAATAGTACATAGTTGGATTTATGAAACAGTTTTTAATTTTACTTATGCATTGGTTTTCAGTTCTGGCTTAATTTTTGCAGCAACATTTTACCTCTTGACTTATACATGGATCCACTTATATTCAGAAATATACAGTACAAAGTCTGTAATCCGGACGTCCATAATCTGGAATGATCTATAATCCGGACCTCAAAGCTACAAACTTTATGCACATGCATTATGCATTTACGCATGTTATAATGCATAATGCATTTCCGTTAATGCATTTCCGCTTGCATGTTATAATGCAAGCATTTGCTTGTTTAATGTATAATAACGGATGTTCTTGTTTAATGTATAACGGACGGTATAAGCTAGGCTAAAATTATCTAAGGCATTTCAGTTAATGTTGCAGATTGCGCTGTTCCTTAATCTTCTAATTAGATCTGGCTTATTATTTTTTGCAGACTGTTAGAGCAATTTTATAAAAAGTAAGCTTGAATTTTTGATTATGTCAAAAAGAGTTTCCAATTCTGGAGCTGCCAAAGGATCTACGAAGTGAAACCATGTTTCGATGTCCATCAAACAAAAAGTGGAATTGCTGCAAAAAATGGATAAAGGCATATCCGTCTCAAAATTATGCAAGGAGTATGGCATGGGATGACACAAGAAAAAGGGATTTTTTTAATTTTCTGTGGAAGCATCTTAAACAACTTACATTGAAAGAAATGTTTAATAAAGTAAACAAATAAATATTAAGCTTTTTTTTTTTTTTTTTTTTTTTTTTTTTTTTTTTTTTTTTGTAAATTTTGATATCCTTTAGATCATAATTGCTCTTTATTTCATAAATTACAGTTTCATATTTTTAATTGTATAATTTCTGCATGCCATCTTACCAGATTTAAATTGATGATCTATAATCCAGAAAAACCCCTAATCCGGAATAGCCGAAGTCCCGACGAGTCTGGATTACAGACTTTGTACTGTATTATGTTTTCTATTGCAAGAAAATTTTTGATTTTGCATATTGAATTTAATTTTGGATTTTCCCAATAAAATGCAGTAAATGCTAACGTTTGGTACTAGTACTTAGTGACTTTTTCTTGAAGTTGAAGTCCCGGGGTTCAGATTCAAACTTGGTTGTTTCAGATGGAATTTGCAATTGAATGCATTCATCAGAAAGGGCCAATACCCATGGATTATTTAACTGTTTCATCACTGAGAACATTGCTCAAGATGCATTGCAGGGCATGACTGAATTTACACCCATAAGAATGGGTAAGCCTTTCCACCATGGCCTGATGATATGGCTTTCCTCCTACCTTCCCTAAAAAGTGGCAATAAAAATTACTACAGTCTACAAATTGCTACATTAAAGCAAATGCTGAATTGTTGTTTGGGAACAACAAAATGTACAAGGATATATTGCACTTGTGATTAAATTTTTGGCCCAAAGCTCAAAAAGTTTTATAATAAAATTGAAATATTTCCGTTTAATTATAAAACTTTATTGGAAGTCCAATTTTTTTCCTTGTAAAGTTTCATCATGCCATTTTTTGCAACTAAGTGGCATACATTATGAGCTTATGGTAATTGTAGTTGTCTGTCTGTGTTAACTAAAAGTCAGTATTAAAGATGATATTACAAACAGTGCAAGTATTTTGTTATTAATGCTATTAGTGGAAGGGAGGGAGACAAACTAATACAAGAAATTCAGAGTATATTATTACACAATTTTATGTTTATATGTATTGTTTTGAAATTGACATTGTAGTTATCTCTGTATGCACACTTACTTAAATCATTTTCTAAATAGTGTTTTCTTTTGTTAGTTATCAGTCTTGTGCATAATTATCTAATTTATTATTTATTTATTTTCAGCTTAGTACTATGCCCAGAGAAAAAACTGAAAAAAGGCCCCATAGTCTAGAACAGTTAGACTGTGCTTCCAACAAATTAACAAAAAAAGATTCACTGAATGAATTCAAATCTGTTTCTGTTGGTCATACAAAAAACAGAAAGCGTAATTTATTTTCTGTTTCAGACAGTATTCAGACAAAGAAACCTGAGTCAACCAAGAAAAAATTGCATAAAATCACTGGCAAAAAAGTTAATGTAAAGCAAGGTTCTGTTCCTTCAAAAAGGGATAAAAGTGCAGATTTAATATCCAGTTCATCTTCAGTATCAAATTTTGAAAAAAAGAGAAAGTGCATTGATTCAGTATCCTCCAAATCAAGAACATCCAGTGAAACATATCTGAAACCAGTTTCTGAATATGAAACAATATTAAAAATTGATGATGAAAAAAATTTCTTAAAACCAACAATTGTGCCATCTTTGTCTTCCAAGCATATGAGAAACTTGTCTATGTCTTCATTTTCCCCACATTCACAGGAGAAATGTTTTTCAAAAAAATCTGCCAGTGCAAAGCATGTGCATAAGAAATCTGCTTCCCATGTATCTAATTCATCATCCCATAAAATTTCTTCAAAACATGAAACATCACTGCCTGTTTCCAAATGCAAGGACAAAGAAAGGGTTTCATCAGATTCTAAGAATATGCGCAGAAAAACGAATACTAAACTTAAAAGAAAGTCTCATAAAAGTTCTGTTTTGAAAAAACAATGTGCTACCCATTCTAAGACATCAGAAAACGATTTGAAAAAAAAGAAAAGTACATATGTAGCTTCCAAAAGTAAGCTTGCTTATGATAGCCCTAAACAAAAAGAGAATTCTAGAGCAGGAAGCCAAAAAAGTAGCATTAATTATCAATTTAATACAGTTCGCAGTTTGTTGTCAAAAGAATCAGGTAATATAGTTAGTAAAGAGGAAGAAACTGCTGCAATCATATCTAAATTAAATTATATTACAGAATTTTATGCTAATAAGTCTAGTGTTGAAAATAGGCGTGTCACAGGGCATCCTGTATGTAGTATGTCACTTCCATGTAAAAAGTTGTTCCCTCCAAAACAAAATACTTCTGTGGTTGGTTATGTTGACTATATTAAGAAAGCATTTGAAAAAAATACTTCAAATTTTTGTCAATGTGTTTCAGATATTTCAGATATTAGAGAAAATTCTGTTGAAGATTTTATGTCTGGTGAGTCTCAAGACCTTTATACCTTAATTGATCCAAAAGCTGACAATATATGTTCATATGCTGTTTACCGTAAGAGGAAATTGCATCTTAAAAATCATTTTATGAGATTTAAAAGTTCTGAGAAAGTAAAAACTTTAAAATCAGGCAAGACTGTAAAATTACCTGAACTAATCCAAAGCAAGCAAATAACTAGACCACGATGTACTAATGCACAAATGACAAAAAATGTTATATGTAATATTCCAAAAGAATTCATGCCATTTTTGAACAGATCTGAAAAATGGATGGTCTTGGCATCATCTGGAAAGCACAAACCAGAGGCTATAATTTCATCAAAAGCTGTTAAGAAATGTATTTCCAAGATACCATCATGTGATTTTGTGAAAAAAAAAATAGCAGCTCCAGCTCTGTATAGGAGATCTGCCTTGGCTTTAATGTGTAGAAATGTTTCTGCAGCAGCTTCCTATCAGCAAGCTGCAAATGCTCTGCTTTATAAGGAGCTAGATGTAGCAAACTATTATAAAACACATGCTGATAAATTACTTTATGAAACCACTATGGATGTAGTAGGAAAGGGAAGTTGTGTTTCTTCTAATAAAATATGTCCAAATATGTATAATAAAATTGCTACTCCAGCCTTGAAAAAATTATTGCCTGTTGTTGCAAATTATGTTGCTTTAAAACAGGGCAAGCGTTTTTCAAGTTCATCAGCTGCATCTGCTTCACCAAAACCTGTTTCTCGTGATCATTCAAATGAAGCATTTTCAGTACCTGTTTCTTCACCTCATGAATCAAAAAGGGCTGTCATAGTTTCTCGTGAAACTGAAGAAATCTCTAAAATGAAGGTAGCATTGCTTGAAGATTTTTATCTCAATCAAGCACTTACATTATATGAAGAAGGAAAGAAAAATAAAAAAATGAAGAAATGCATTAGCCAGCAAATAATTCAGTCTGAATTAAATGATAATGTGACTGTTTCTGCAAAACAGGCATCAGAGACCATGCTTGGTAATGAAACACCATATGAACAGAATGTACCTTCTTATGAAAACCAGAATATGGATGATGAATGTGTTGTAGGACCATCTTCAGTAACAGAAAATAATGAGTCAAACCAGACTATTCTTAATACAAAGTGTCGACCACGCAAGGAAGCATTGGACGATTATGTATCCTTTGCACTTCTCTCTGCTGAACGAAAGACATCTGTGAACAGTTTTACTGACACAGTAGGGCTTTTCCATACTTCCCCATTTTGTCCACAACAATTATCTACTGCATCATCAGCCACAATTTGCCAAGCAAATATTTTACCCACAGAAACAAATGTTTCAAGACAGAAAAATTTGAATTTAATTCAAGAAGTGACTAATGATGTAACAGCACTCCAAAATGTTTCTGAAAATGCATCTGGTTCAGCTGTTTTTTGGGAAAAAAATTCTAGATATAATTTTTCTTCTGGTAAGAAAACAGATGGTTCTGAGAAGAAAAGAAAGAGAAAAAAGAGTTCACTTTCTGCTGAAGAGAGAGATTCATATCATTCTGAGAAGAGGAAAAAGAGAAAGAAAGGTTCTGTTTCATTTGTGCAAGAGAAACGTTCTCAGTCTTTGAAGCATTTAAGAAAAAAATCTGCATCATCATCTTCTGCTTGTATTCCACACTCTTCAAATTCATTTATTCCATCTTCCCAGTCTCAGGAGCCGATCATGGTCACTGTTCCATTTAGATTTCTCCCAGATTGTAAACGAGAAGAGCTAAGCGCTAAGTTACATATTGCGAAGAGAAGTTAAATTTCTTCGGAATCCAGACATCCAAGACCGATTGTAATATCCAACTTATTTTTTTAATGTAAATTTAATTTGAAATTTATTGTATTTTTATTTAAAGTATGTGATATCTTTGTTTAATTGTATTCACTCAGTGCATAAGTCCATGCCATTCTTCACTGTGTTGCTGTTTTTACCATGCTATGATTTTATTAGTATAAAATTTACTACAATACATAAGAATGCTACATCATAAATCAATAATCACTCATTCATTCAGTGATGTAATTGCCATCTTTGTAAATAATTGCCTGTCACTGCTCAAGTAGAAGAACTGCCTCTACTGTATAACTGTTATGGTTTCAAGTTAAAGAAATCTGTTAGCTAGCTGCTAAGAGAAGCTTCATTATAAAACTCTTGCCTCTGAATGCTGTTAGAGACTGGAAAAGATAGTAATCAGAAGGAGGGATAAATGCATTGGAAGTATTCATTTTTCCCTACTTAACACTTCATACTGATTGGCTTTGAAAATGACCAGAACAAGCTGTTAACAACATATAAACTCCTGCTCGCAATCTCCAAAAGGAAGAGAAGCATTTGACTAACAAAAAATGAAGGCTTCACAATGCAGTGTTGATAACCCAATGAAGAATAATACTGACTTATGCAGTGACTAGTAATTTAATGTAGTGGCCTCAAACTCGCAGTCCCTGAAGCAGATATACATGGCTCATAAATATATTTCCTATAAATTAATTAGTATTATTATGACATTATTTATAAAGACAAGAATTTGATGACAGGTTTAAAATTTTAACAATTTCAAATCCAGTATTGCATTATTTTTATACTACCCGACATTGAAAATTCAGCACCAAGAAGGAGTGGCCAGAAAGTGATGAAACTCGGCAAACAGAGAGAGAGACAGTAACAAACAATAAGTGATCTTTATTACAAAATGATACACATAATACAGAGTGACAACAACACCGGCTCAGTAGGCCGTAGAAACACTTTGGATGGCGATACACAAAGTTAACACGTCTAGGTACAGAGTCAATGAGACTATGGATGGTGTCCTGAGGAATGGCTCTCCATTTCCTGTCACCCTTTGCACAGTTTGCCACAGTTTTTCTTTTGTTAGTCGCAATGGCAGGGTCTGCAAATGGCATTCAATCATATCCCAATGTGTTTGATCGGTGAGAGACCAGGTGAGAATGGTGACCTGGGAAGCATGTGTAAACCTTGCAGAGCACATTGGCTGATGCAAGCAGTGTGTGGTTGGGCATTATCCTTCTGATAAAGGCATTGGGCAAAGGGGAGTGTCACCTACAGCATATCATCCACGTTGGAATCGTACACAATTGCATTCCAAATCATGTGGTGGCGCATTCCCAAATTGCTGCCAGATTGGACCTGTCTTCACATCGATGTCATACTAGTACACGGCGACTGTCATTGGAGAAACAGAAGTGTGACTCATCTGAGAATTTGACCCTGTGCAATTCCGTCGTCCACATTACTCGAGCCTGGCACCATTGCAGATGTTTGTGTTTATGATGGGTCAGTGGCAGTCTTGTTAATGGACACTACAAGTCAGGCCACTAGCCACCAATTGATAGCAAATGCTTCTCGACGATATGAGAACATCCATGGTGTCTTGAATATGCTGCAGAATGGAGATAGAAGTGGCTTGTCAGCGACTGTGTCGATCCATGCGTGCTGATGTCTTTCTGCCTGCACCGGCACCCCTCGAACTTGCCACATTTCCTTGTTCCATCCATTGTCACCACACCCAGTGCACTGTGGATGTGTCTAGGTGTGTGTCAGCTGAGATTTGCCGTATGGACCAACCTGCCCTTCTCAGTCTGATGACCATGCCCCTCGTAAAATCATCTGTCTGCTGGAACTGCCTCCGTTGGCGACGACCTTACATTGTACGTTTGCCCTCTGAGACAAGAACACATTTTCTTTGATGATTTCCTTAAGATAAATAATGACACGAAAATTTAACATTCTGCCGGTTCCTTCCCTTATATCTTCTTCAATGTGCACTGGAGAGCTGCACATTTCACATCATTTGCATAACTCAGTGACGAGCGTCTACCTTGAAATTTGCATAATTTTCGGGTCACTCCTTCTTAGTGTTGCATTTTTCAATGTCGGTTAGTGTATTACCATTAAAAATGGACATCACTAGCACCCCTGGAAATCTACAAAAGGAGCTAATTAATTTACACTGTGATTTAAATGTTACTCAAAGATTTGATCAATTTTTATTTGTATGTATCAAAAGATAATTATCGTCAGTTATGAATTTTTGCAGTAAGAATAATGGCTTTGTTTGGGAATACATTTACATGTCAAATTATTGTTTCTGCTATTGAAAATTAATGTCACACACACACACACACACAAAAAAAAAAAAAAAAAAAAAAAAAAAGGCTAGTCATAAATTGTTAATTTTTAGTTTGAGTTATTTAGTGGTTAATTCAACACATTAGAATTATTTGAAATAAATATGAGTCTAAAAATGTAATATTTAGCCATCAATACATTTGAATTACAATACATTACCTACAGAAATTTCTTCCAGATCCCAAATCTTAGATTTTAGACAGAAATAAATTGCATTTTTTTGCTTTGTCTTATTATTATTGTTACTGTTTATGTATTTTTTAATAAATATTTAGTGAGCAAAATTAAAAATTTAGTTTAAAAAATCGTTTCATAAAAAAAAAAGTTAAAAAAAAAAAAAAAAACCCTCATTTTCACATGAAAAGAGGAAGAAAAAAATTCGGGCTCCTCAGCAACTCTTGGATTTGGTGCACATGCAATTTGTGTTTGAGACCAGTGGTTTCATGCTCTAAAAAAAGTCTGCAGGTAACTGGTGATTTTGCTCAGATCTAAAAAAATGGAATAAAGTATTTAATGATGATTTTCAATCAGTTTTGGTATTCATCTTTTAATTAAGAAATCCTGCATTGTGAAAGAAATTAATATATATCAGAAGTATCTATATTATTCAAAAAAGAGGGGGTATAGACATTAACTTACAATAATTTTGAAAATCTGCATTACTGACTTCCTTGTTGTACTTTAGTTTTTTCAAAGTATAATGAAAAATTTTCCCATTCTGTCTCTCTTTTTCCCCTCCCCCTTCCCATGTGATATCTTTGAACTAGGTTTAGCATGCATTTAGTTTGAATTTTGAATATTTGAAAATATATCAAATCCTGAAATGAAAGCATTTGCAAATACAGTCAAGCCTTAATTAATTAATGTATTTTTATGTGTGTGCAAGTGGCGTAACATTGAGGACATGTCCTAATTCAGCTTTAAATATGTATGTATTGTGTAAATTTGATTATTCATCAATCTTGGCACTGTTATCATATCAGATATTCCAACAGTGACAAGCAGATCTGGACAGTAGATAGTAGAGGTCCAATTTTAACATAATTTGTTGTACAGTCAAAAGTCGTTAATCCGGACTCGTCGGGGACTTCGGCGATTCCGGATTATAGATCATCAGTTTAAATCTCGTAAGATGGCATGCAGAAATTCTAAAATTAAAAATATGAAACCGTAATTTATGAAATAAAGAACATTTATGATCTAAAGGGTATCAAAATTTACAAAAAAAAAAAAGCTTCATATTTATTTGTTTACTTTATTAAACATTTCTTTCAATGTAAGTTGTTTAAGTTGCTTTGTTTTATGTGATAATACTTTTTCTTTAATTCTATAAACAGACATAATTTCTTGTTCAGTTACAAAGTTCCGCCGTTCAAGTCCGGTTAATTGCTGTGCCGAGAATACCGACTAAGTTGTCAATCGAAATTTTCGTTTTCACTAACCTCTCTGTCACATTCTTCATGTCTTTATCCATTTTTTGCGCAATTCCACTGTTTGTTTGATGGACATCGAAACATATTTTCGTTTTGTACGATCCTTTGGGAGCTCCAGTATCGGAAATTCTATTTGACATAATCGAAAGTTCAAGTTTACTTTTATAGTATTGCTCTTACAGTCTGCAAAAAATAATAAGCCAAATCCAATTCGAAAATTAAGGAACAACGCAATCATCAACATTAACTGAAATAGATAATTAGATAATTTTAGCTTATACCGTCCGTTATATATAAAACGCGCATGCGAAAACATATTCTACGCTTGCGCACACACATATGTGCAGTCGTAAAAGGTCTTACGTGCACGCGTAAATGCCTATGCGCATGTGTCAACGTGGCGCATGCGCAGAAAGTTTTTAGCTTTTAGGTCTGGATTATAGATCATTCCAGATTATGGGTGTCCAAATTAACGACTTTTGACTGTATAATAGACCTAAAAAGGCAAATTTAGAAATGAAAATTGATCATATTATATCAGTTTAACATATTTAGTATAATGAAAAAAAATGTAATGTTTAAAATCGATCTAAAATATCTGAAGCTACAGCGGAGTAAATATCAAATATCCAAGAATGCTTTAATTTTGAATTAAATTTAATGTTTTGGTGTTCACCCGGGGCTAAAAGCCCTTAATTTGGTCTGAAAGTTGCACACATTTTACTCATCTGACATCTCAATGTGCCATATATGATTTCGTGATTTCTGGAGTTATTCTCAGTTTTTAAAAGTACTAAACAAATTAGCTTAAGAGCCTTTCTAAATACATACGATATTTAAAACAACATAATTGGAAAATTCTAATTTGAAGAGAAAAGTTATTGAAGAAGAAATTGACTACATAAAGGAAGAGAAAGATTTTCTCTGAAGGGAAGATGAAGGTACAATGAATTTTGATAATGAAGGGTTATGTAGATTATAAATCATCTTTCTAAGTTTTGTTCACATTTCTCCCATTATAACTTTAAAATTGGATAATTAGGAAATGTTGTGGAGGGAAGAACAAGGTAAAAATAAAAGGATATATTTTACAGAAATAAAGAAACTCTTTTGTAAAAATGCATCAAAGTATATGTGTAAAAAATTTATGAATTACTTTCAAAGGTTTTTTGCTTGTTATGGGAAAGGCTTAAGGTTTAAATGGAAAGGGTGAAAATAAATTCATTGCTCACAAAAACTCCTACAAGTGAGGTTTTATCCTAAATTTTATCCTTATGCTAATCCTGCTATTGCATTTTACATACTTACATTGGAATTAATAACATTTTTAACAGTTAACAAAAAATGCTAGAAATGAATGCTTTCTATTTTTTAAGCCAAAAAAATCCCCATAAATACTATTTTTAATTATCTAACTGTATTCACCACTAATATAAAGAACCTTTCTTATTTTGCAGAATGCAACAAAATAGTTACAAGTTGCATTCAAATTAGAACTTAATGTCTGAAGCATTGTGGATAATCTTTACATATGCTAACTACATAAACTCAAAATTAATTTAAAAAGAATATCGAATGTGTGTCTGAAATAAGATTTATATAAATTAAAATTTAGTGATTTATGATATGTATCTGAATGCAGTGATATGTGCAAATTAAATAATCTCAATAATAAAATGTATTATTAATATACAGTATTTTTGTTAAAATGTTTATTTGCATAAATATAGAGTTGCTTTTAAATTTACCTAGCTGAAATTTCAGAAAAATCAGAATTTTGCTCATTTACATCCCAAAATGAGTGCAGATTACAACTTAAAGCATGTGCAGCATCAGTGATTATAAATTATCAGAATCCGGCTGTATTAGCAGATGGGACTAGCAGGAAATTTTTCTTATTATTATCAAATGACCTTTGAACAGCAGTTAAAGAAAAGGAAGCAAATATAAATAAATTAAATATAAAAATTATTCTCTAAAAGAAATCTGAAAATTCTTTCATTAAAAAAAATTAATGCTTTGTAATGTAATGGATGTTTTGTGTTTTTTAATGTACAAGTATGCAAATAACTTTTCAAAACCAATGTAATGAATGATATGTATAGTAATCTGTTCTTTCAAGCTGCAAAATGTTCTTAGATTTGATTTTAATGATGCCTTTTTAAATCTTTTTAATGTATGTTTAAAAAATAAAATGAAATTTTTTAATAGTGATGGTGTAAATCTTAAAATATGTGTGGCTATTAAAAGTGTAAAATTTGAAAATTTAAATTCATAATTTACTGTTAATTATATAAAAATTTTAGGGTTCCTCAAATTTGTTTCATTGTTATGATAAATATTAGATTGTATTGTCTATAATAACAATGCATCCTACATATTTCTGTTTCAGTCTTAGAATGGTATTGTAAAAGTATAGTGCATTGCATATATAATATATAATTTATTCAGTTTTCTTTGCTTACAGGTCTTTATGTTTTTACATTGTTGGTCCTTAAAAGTACTTAATTTCCATTAAAAAATGTGTATGAACTCTGTATTAAATGTTGTACTGTATTTTTCACTTATTGGTGTACCAAAAAAGATGCATGTGTAAAATGTAATACATGGTTCTGTGTAACAATGTAATCCCCTGTTATTTCTGTTACTGTGTAATTAACCCATTCTGCTCATATGTGGACCATAATACAGTATAATATTATTCATTTACAAATCTTACTGATGATTTGTAAAAGAATAATAATGTAGAATATAATATGAGTTTCAAGATAGTAATATTATATTGAACACAGTTCGCCATTACTTTATTTCCATGTAATTCATATACCAGGCATAACTAAGTCACATATAGATTTAGCATCTAATTTGTTACAAGTTTCTATCAATTTGGCTAGCCTACGGTTCTGCAACATAAACATGTTGGTGATTGTCTTCAAAGAGTTAAAATAACAACTCATTATTAAAATACATATAATATTTGAACAATTCATTAAATGTGTGAATGTGTAAGTCTAAGATAAGGATCCCTTCAAATTATATACTACTAGCCATCAAAAATGAACCACCATATATATATATATATGTTTAATAAGATGACTTGGTGAAAAGTTGCAGTGAATTGGCATTGGAAGGGCTTAATTGCATAGTTAGTAACATGACACTCGAAGACATAATGGTAAATTCCAGACATAATTTTATTCCTTGATAATGCACAATGTGCATTATCAAGGAATAAAACTATGTGTGGCTTATTTTTTTTATACAGCTTACATTTCTTAAACAATGGACAAAAATGGAGAAATAATCTCTGTGGCTAACAGCAAAGCGATGCAGCAAAATGAAGCAGAAAAGAAGTCAAATCGAATCAAGCCATAATATTGCTTAGGGCATGACATTTCTGAATCAGTGGTATATATTGCTATAAAAGCAGATAACATAAATGCAATCATGATAGCTAGGACCTGGAAGGGAGTAGCAGTGAGTGGAGGCAAGGGAGGTAGGAGGATCATAAAATGACCTGATATAGCAAATCAGAAAGTACTGTAGTGAGTATGAAAAAGCAAGTCAATAAGTGTAGAGGGGGAGTTGCAACACAATTACCTTTTATACCGAATTACATTTCAGATCACACGACAGGTTAATGTCCAGATGTTGAGTTCAGATTTCATCGATAAGTGCACATCAGAACTACAGGGAATTTAGTTAGAAAAATATTGCTCTGTTATTTTTAGAATGAAGATGGAAGTTAAAGGGCTGTTATTAATTTATTATTTTAAAGATAGATATTTTACATACATACATACATAAAAGAATTCAAAGCCATATTTACTGGATAAATAATCTAGGGTACCAATGTCAACAGAATAAAATTGCAGCCTCTGTCAGCTCAGGCTTGTTAGCAATTCATTCTGATTGACAATGAAGAATTGTTAGCACTGCATGTCACCTGTGATCACGAAGTTCTAACAAATGTAGCCTCTTTTTCAAATTACCTTGATAAAATGCAGCTAGCTCAACGTCTTACCCTTAACACTTTCCTCAAGAGAGCCCGCTATAATCCTGTTGGTTAAATGCTTTTTAAACAGTCCGACTGG